GTGCAAACACTTTAGGGGCATATAAATAAATGGAATTACTGGACAACTCCAAAATTGACATATTACTTTTTTGCGGGCTCTTCTGTGCAACATAAGTGGGCATCCAAAAGGAACTGTTCTGATTTCATTATAGCAAGGAAGAACATTGTGTGATGGTAAATAGCCACTTCTTTTACGATAGAGTACCTGTAAGCCTTTACACAGTATGCAATAAAACATACAGCTAATCTTCTACAGTAAAGATATACACTTTGACCTCTTTGCCAGGTATTTCATAATTCAATATAGCATAGAATGGGCTGGCAGCAATATTTAATAGAGAGTTATACAGCATGTTCCCATTCTCTAAACAACAAAATTTCAAATTTCAAAAATTGGTGCCTTTGTCCACATCCTTTCCCCCAAATTGCATTAATAATGAATTGCATATTAAAGAAATACTCTGAGCACAATAAGTGAAAATTGTATTTTATTCCCCATGCATTAATACTCATATCTGAAGAAATGTGCTAGCTTTCTTGCCTCCACGACCTGGTGGTATCACAGGGGGAAGCTATACTTGCACCCTGGCTACATAAATACTAACTTTTACAAGCTCCCTCACACACAACTGTAACAGCTATGCCTCACTTTATGTTAGGAAATACGATACATTCATTCATGCATTTTCATGAGTAAAACGATTAGTGGGTACTGAACAACATCTCCATAATACATTTTAAAGAGGTCAATATCGAGCTTTTTTCGTTTAGGTTTTCAGAAGGAAAACAGCTTTTTACATGTTGATAAATATACATAATGATTGCTGAGGGTCAGCATTATACTACCCTTTATGATATATGTTTTATTTACGTCCCTAGTTAAATGCCGGTACGGCATTTGGGCCTAGGGTACGAGAGCTATTGATCTTAGTACTTGAGTGAAATCAACTATATATGTCCTTATAGTACAAATACCAACTCAACCATGTTTTCGCAAGCAGCTACATGTTCCCTATGCTGTTGGAATGGCTCTAATTTATTAATTAATTGATTTCCACTAGTATGTGAGTTCTACATACTGCAGGGGAGCACTCTTTCCATGTACATTATGAAAGCATGAGGAACTAGGGTTGACAGATCCATCGCATCTATCAAGACATATATAATTTATACATCATGATGGGCAGCACATGAAAGGTGTTGTCTACCAGTATGTGTAACTCATGCAGTTGGAGTAAAATTGATTGTCTTATTTTTGGTAGTACTTTGGGGTTTAATTAATTGCATTCGTTCCCACAGCACATGACTTCTACATACTCCAATGCAGTAATTTGCAGTCCAACAACATTTATAAAGAGTTATTTATGTCCAGGAAACCATGGTTGATTTTTCAATGCTTCATGGAACTCATAGAGGTCTGGGAAAAATGTCTGAAATGGTAACATAGTAGCCAACTAGCCTGTTTTTGCTGGGACAGTTCCATGTTCTGGCCTCATGTCCTGGCAAACATGGACCCCGAGACATGTTCCACATACCCTGCGCAGCAGCTTTCATTGGAAGTTGTGATTAAAAATCACTTACTCCAAGTGCACAGAGAGTCACGCAGGGGAGCAAGAGAGAGGAGGCAGCTGGCCCAGGACTGGGAATGAGCAGAAGAGGAGACAGTAACGGACTTGGGGTTGACAGCTTTGGGGCCTGATTGACTGTAAAACTTAAAACATCGAAGGAGCAGAGACTGACAACCACTACCTCACAATGCCCTGCATACTATCAAAGACTGCAGTGTTGGGATACCAAATGTCCCACCTCCAGCAGTAGAGAGTACAGCAAATAACAGGCATCAGACCCTGTAAGGGTTCTGGGTGGGTGGTATGAGCTCAAATGTGTTTCTGCTATGTGTATCAGTAAGTAACTGTGTGTGTATGTGTGTGTATGTAAAACAGAGTGTGAGTCTGTGTGTATATGTGTAACAGTATATGTGTGTATATATCTTGTCTGCTGTTTTTATAACCCCTCCCCTTCTAACCCCGCCCAGACTTTTTGTGGCTGTCCAATCACAGACTTCCCAATGCAGCTCAATAAGAAGTGGTTGGAAGGCAGGTGCTCTGGGCAATTACTGCCTCTCGAGTTTAGCTCCACTTAGCTAAACAAACCAGGAAGTAACAGGACTGGTTGTGTGAATGAAAGCTGGGGGTGTAACAAGGTTAATTTATAAAATTGCTAATTTCTATTGAAATCTGCACTTTGTGTAAGATAAGAAAAAGTAGACACACTTTTCACACATAAAATACCTTAGCAAACTGAAGGGCTTTAGTAGACCGGAGTGTTCCTTTAAAACCCAAAACGTCAAACTGGGACAATTCTCCACTGAGCTTCCAGTTCGACTGCTTTGGCCTGAGGCTGCGTCATTATTTGAATAATGACACCACCCTGTAGACCACACCCAATATATTCCTCCTTATCGTGATACTCTCCAGGTAACATTCTGTATACTATCACACCTGGCTGTAGACTCACTATTCCAATCGTTAACCCAGGACATTATCACTGTGTTAAAGGAACAGTCATTATTTTAAATAATGTATTTTCCTTGATTTCTAACGTTCTGAGTGAAATCATATAAAGACAGGGTTATTCACTGAAGTGTGAATTGTTGTGACCTCTGTTGACTTCAAATTGTAGGCCAATATGGCCAACTGAAAACATAACTTTTTTTTTTAACCAATTTTGTTAGTGGGCTATTATTTGGAATCCCCTTTGAATTCCGGACGATCACACTTTAGGGCTTAACCCTGTGTTTCCCTGATTGTATATGTCACTGGCCTAGGGTAGCCCAGCAGGCTTTCATGCCTTTGGCACAGATAAGTTATCCTACAGGTATAATTCAGAAATTAGTATTTATAGGAATGTATCATGAGTGCGCTATCCTGGCTTTTCTGGGTGTTAAGTGAGCAGGTCAATTAGTTAGATGTGTTTTCTAATTTAAGAAGACACATATTAAGCAACTTAGTAGAAATTGTGCAAACATTCCCACTTTAAATTAACACTCCAAGCACCACAACCACCACAATATGCCTTGTCTCTGGGATCCAGATACATTGTCTGAATGTACTAAAATAGTTTGAATACCTACTGTGCATTGTCCCAGGGCTCTAGTGGTTATAGTCCTTGAAGTGTTGCTTTAAAATAAAAATATATATATTACTCGAAATACGGTAGCTACCAAGTGCTATGGCGTTACAAATCTAAAACCATATAGGCAAAGGGGACACTGAAATGTATTATTGTGGGATAAAAAAAAAAGCTGGAAAAATAGCTAAGTTGGAGATTTTATTCAACTTGTTATTTTGTGATAACATTTGCAATTCCTTTATTAATGATCCACATGGTTTAGTGAATAAAGTCATTACACATAAGATTGCAATACAATGTATTTTTCCATTTTAGCATAATATGTTACACTGGTGTAAAAATAAAGTAATTTTAGATAAATAGCAAATAATAAATTACCAGTACTCTAAAATATGGAATTATTGCATTTAGAAAAAAAAAAATATATATATATATATATATATATATATATATATATATATATGCTATGCAAAAACTGTTGCTCCTGTAGTTCCTTGTTAACTGATGCAGCGCTGGACTGCTTTGAGGAACACTTATCAATGTAACACATTCTTACAGCATATAGGATCTATAAGAGGAAATGTGGTCATCCTAAATACAGAATTAAAGTTTACACTTTTCAGATATTCACTGCATTGTAAATGTCCCCCTTAGTAATTATCATGTAAAATGCATTAATTAAAACGTGTGATTTTCTCTGTATCCCACAGTAATCTCCTATTGTAACATGTGAGTTGGAACTATTTGCCTTCCTCCAGGAGAGGATATACTATTGTCTGAGAGGCTTGTGATAAGTACAAAAGGTGTCTGTCAACTGTTCTTTAGATTGGGTTCACCATTACCATTACTCTGCAACAACTTTAACCCTTCAATGCCTAGGCCAAATTGTAGCTGGGAGATTTTCAAGTAATATTGTCTAGGCTGCCGTATTACGATGCACCATGCATGTGTAATATGGCATAAAGTCAACTCTTGGGCTTAATTAGTAATATATAAAATTATTTAAAGAGACATGCATTTGATAAGTCAGAAAATTAAAATATGTATACAGAGCTACACCCAGATATGTTCTAATCTATATGGCAGTAACGAATAAACTTGGCAACCTATTTGTTAATCAAGTACATTTCCCATGACGCTCAGCCAGTCAAATAGTTTTAGTATAGGCTACAGGCTAAGAACCATTACAATAGCAGACAATAATTGTTTTCGATTATCCTTTAAAACGAAAATCCCCTGTACAGAAATCACTGTAATTGTATTGCTCATGCTTCTTAGCAGCCTGTGGCACACGTCTTGAGGGCCGTCTCTCTGGCCGAGAATGATAGGATTTGAAATACACCACTAAAGCACTCTATAGAACTCCAAATCGAATAGACACAAATTATAAATATCTAAAGGCTACTATATGGAATGCATAGGAAGATTAATGCAGGGGCAAAGTTCTAAAGGTGGAGCAGTTACTATGGAAACCATGGAATGTTGCTACTGATTGTTCCACTTTTAGAACTTTGCACTAGAATTGTTTTTATTTTATTTTTTTACACCAAACTCTGCTCTATGTGAGATTTACACAAGTTGCTGGTCCTTTTCTCCCTAATTTTCCCTACTCAAGTTAATGGTGGATATTGAGGGGAGTCTCTCCTCCCCCGGCTGCAGTGCGATGTTGTTGAGCGGGGCTGTCCCGCATGGCCCGGCAGAGAGAGCGAGAGAGACATGAGGCTGCACTGGGTATCTGCATGCCTTGCCGCAGAGCAGTCAGCATGTGTGGCATTGCATGCAGCGTAGCCGGCGGGCTGTAGGACCCAGGAGGAGGCGGCTTTGGCAGGGAGCGAGGCTACCTTAAACCCAGCCCAATGCCTGCTGCTGCGCCACTCTGCGCGCTGGATGGAGAGCCTCAGTCAGCAGCAGCCGCAGCCTCAGAGCTGGAGAGCAAGACTTCCCAGGGAGCTAGCTGTGCACAGCACAAACACCTGTTCTCAGCCAGCCCACCTTCCAGCAACCATCACCACTGGATTACCTGCCCTGCACCTGAAAAGTTTCCCAGCATCCCCCCCTGCTCCCTGGCTGCCCCCCAGCCCTGTCATTTCATCCCCCCTCTTGCAGGATTCCATGCTGATCTATGCAGTCTGTTATAGGGAGTCAAAACAGCGCATGTGTTGGGGAATCAGGATCCATACATTCTGACGTAGTCTGTGCATCTTAAAACAAAATCCACACACCGCCTGGGTATTTAAGTTGCTATGAGCACTGGGAATCTTAAAGCAAATGGAGCAAGTACGGATTTTTGCCCTGCCTGCCATTGGATGGGCTGAAGACCTCATTGCCTGCTGAGATCTATCTAGGGGAGGGGGGTGGTAGGTGCCTTGATAAATATGTCCATGTGTGCGAGAAAAAGTGTTGCCTTCTTAGACTAACAGAGGTTTGACCTTGAGCTTGCAGCACTCCGAGCAGAATATTTTAGTTTTTTTTTTTTTTTATATTTTTATTATTATTATTGATGCACTGAATGGATTGAAGAGAGGACATCCCCACCCCTCCCCCTCCCCTTTTTTTTCCCAAGGGGATACAATATCTACATATACATTTTTTTTTCTTTTTTCTAAAGATCTGTTTTAATACCTGATCATTTCCCTGGGTCTAGCACCATCCTAATTTCCCTCTGTTTACCAGGAAAGGCAGAGAGATTTGATGGCTCCCCTGGGTGAAGTTGGGAACTATTTTGGTGTGCAGGATGCAGTGTCTTTTGGGAATGTACCCGTATTGCCTGTGGATACCCCTGTGCTGTTAAGTGACCACCTGGGTCAGTCTGAAGTAGCAGGGCTGCCCAGGGGATCTGCAGTCACTGACTTGGAACACTTAAAGGGGATCCACAGAAGAAGACAGCTCTATTGCAGGACTGGCTTTCACTTAGAAATATTTCCCAATGGTACTATCCAAGGGACAAGACAAGACTACAACAGATTTGGTAGGTATCCTCATACCACTGCCATTCAGCATTGGGAATATAAAAAGTACATGTTGGCTACAAAAAGGGGGAATCTGTGATGACCAGGTTAAATGCAGGTATAGTATGATAGTGAAGTGTGGATTTGGGGCTCACTGCAGTAAGAAACATTGTTGCAAAGTTTTTATTTTGTGTGGGATACTGATTGTTCTGACACTGTCTGATTAGTTTAAAAAAAAAATTATTTATTTTTTTCATTTTATTTATTTATTTTTGCTATTTCGAGGGGTGTGCAATCTAGTATATGTCAGGGATTCCTTCCTTAATACAGCAGTCTGTTCGTATTTTCCTTGCAGGCTGGGGTACTCCAGACGCTATCATTGCTCATTTTGGGAATATTATCAGTTCTATTTTAGATAGGTGTGATGCAGAGTGATAATATAGTAGCACAAATGTGTGGCATTTGCTTTCCAAATTCCTGTGTGATTGCACTGAAGATCCAGGTCCCATCTGCTGTAAGGATGGATAAATGCATAGACCAAACTAATTTTAAAAGGCATGCCATTGGGGTTTTTCTGTCTATAGGGTGCTATTTGTGACTCAGCATTAAGAGCTGGAGACTGAAGGGCGCACAGCTCCCCCCACCCCCCTTGATTAAACCATTTGTATGCCAAATTATTGAGCAATGTTCCCCCCCCCCCCATCTAAATCTCTGAATCTTTAAGACTATTAAATGGTGATATGGGTCACTTTAATAATAATTTGTGTAAGTTAAAATCTATTACAGATCTCAGCAGAAGTTAAACTTAATTGTGCTAAACCACATGAGCAGATTTAATATATTTTTCTCTTTAACATCTAAGGACCCACACCCCTATGATGGTTAAAAAAGAAATAAATTGCAAACTGATAACACTGAAGGCTAACACTTTTTTTTTGGCGTGCCAGTTGCGGTGGAATTAAGTTCCCATGATGTCAGGCAGGTATTGGCTGGCTGTGCGTGCTGGGAGTTGCAATCTACTAGAGATGGCGTTTCAATGTCAGTCACTGCAGCACATTATTTTAACTTTTTTCTAAAATGCTGAGCGTAAACCTTATAACACCTCACTCCCTCTCATTGAGGGAAGAGCTTCTTTGCAATAATACGTAGGTGCGTGCATCCCAATATTCCTACTAAGTAATTAAAAGGTTTGTAATTAAGTTTTCACTTCCTCTTGTAAAAAGTCCCAGCCCGCTACATCAGAGAGACCTCACCAACAGTTTATCTTCTGGTATAACAAAGATTCTGAGAAATATTGATTGCAATTAGTTAGATATGGAACACAGCTGTAGCTTTTTAAAGGGATAACATTCTTGCACTTTGCGTTGGATAAATTGCAGGGTTATTGTATCACTGATGGGACTGGGCAGGGCTTTTATGCAACACTTTTTTTTTTTCTAAAAATCATTATTGTGGACCTTATGTAAAAGGGAATACTTTACTGACTTTTAACCAACTCCCAGTGTTTAGTAGTTTTATGGTAGTAAGAGGTGGGGATGGGGGATCTATATAGCTCTACCTAAAGCTGCATTGGCTCATCACTCCCAGCCATACAGTGAGCATACACCGGGGAGAGCAGGACCTGCAATGTGCCTTATCATGTGCCTTGGGATCCACGCCTCCAGCAGGTGTCTAGTGTGTGTCTACGGCGGCCGCGCTGTGCCCTGCCTTCCAGCTACCGCCGGAGGCGGGGTGGTCCTAAAGCCGGTCTCATCACTCTGCAAGAGGCAGCTCAGCAAGAATGTAAAAGGGGGAATGCTTTGCACCCTACTGAAAATGCATTCGGCATCTTTCTTGGGACAGTTAGACCTCGTCTGTCTGGAGAACAGAGGTTAGTAGCCATTTCTTTCTGGCAGTAAAGTGGTTAATGAACTAGGGATATATATATATGTATATGTATATGTGTGTGTGTGTGTGTGTGTGTGTGTGTGTGTGTTTTTTATTTTTTTATTTTATTCTTCTTCTTGGATGTTTGCAAGCATCTGTCAGTAGGCAGGTTAGAGAGATCCATACCTTCCGGGAAGCAATAGAGCATTCCCTTTGGACTCTTATTTTCCTTAACCATTTCAGTGCCAGAAAGCACACTCCCAGGCCAGCTAAGCTTAATTCATCTCTGCATGGTATTGTGCAGTTCTTTTTCCCAAGCACCTGCACCCTGCCAATTAGTACTCCGCGTCAATTAAGGTGACTGGAAGGGGGGAATGACATGCCCTCATTCTCCACTGCGGCAGTGAATGCGTTAAGTGTTTAAAGGCCCATCGCACAATTTCCTAATGTGTGTTGTAGTGCAGTAAATCTTGGAATGATACATAGTTATTCACTGCAGCAGATCATTCCTCACATAGAATGTTGTAAACTTCAACAACTGCCAGTCTGATGCAGTGATGGCCAACCCATGGCACTACAGTTCTTATCAACCACGTTTCCTTGAATGCTACTTAGTCTTTGACATCTGGGGTTACCACAAATTGGCTTTAATTTGTCTATAGCACATTTTAACACTCCATTCATGTTACAGAAATATACCTGCCATAGAGGCTGCCCTACATTCATTTGGATTTTTATGTCTTTGCAGCAGTGAAATTCTTGACCTTTGTAAATATTGCTTAATTTGTGTTCAAACGTGTATGTGTATATACTGTATATTTTTTACAGTCGGGGATGGCTAAAAGGTAGACCCACCCAGACCATAAGTTGCATCAAATTAGTTGAGGTGCTGCAACAGCTGGACCACTATCCATTTTCTAACCCAAAAAATATTCACATCTGGTTCTGAATTTCATGAATGACTTCAAATACATAAAAAGTCAGCTGCATAGTTTTTTTTAAAGTTTTTTTTTTATGTATGGGGAAACTGTATGTTCTAGGCTGCTGGGGTTAAAAGCCTCATAGGTAGTGGGCAAGAAGTAAAAATAAATAAATAAAAAAAACCCAATGCAAAGTGCAACAGAAATCTTGTAAATTTATCAACCCCAAAACCCTACATACTTGGTGGATTACAAACCACAATATATTCACATTTCTGAAATTTTAATGACATTTTAGTTTGCTTAAAGCAGCTTAGATACATATTCCTGTATAGTTGTCTTCTAAGAGGCTGTGATAGAAATTCTGAAAATTTGATATTTTGTAAAGGAATTCACTAGAGTGAATTTTTTATTTTATTTTTTTTCATGCAGTCTTTTTGTGTATTGAGGCATTCAGTAGAATATTAAATTCAAGAACTCTTCACACAGGAGGTGTGCCTCTTGCATCAGCAGCACAGCTGCATGGACAGCATTTAAAAAACCCTCATGGCATGCAGAAACACCCAACCTAATCAAGGGGTCACCTCCACTGCTTAAAGCATGGCACGGAAAATATCTAATGCAGCATTTTGGAGGATAAATGCCACTGCAAAGTCTGGCATTCTGATACTGGGCACTGCACCCCCCCTGCACATTAGAAGTACCTCATACTGCATCGTATTGCAGTAAAATTTGGCTTAGCACGTTGGACCTTGGCACAGCTACCATATTGATTTTTCTTTGCCCGCCTTCTATAGGCTCTTACCCACCCAGCTAAAAAGTCACCTCAGCATCATTTTTAGCACAAAGTGGATGTCCCTTTTTTTTTTTTTTTTTTTTTAAAAAAGCACCAATTCTATTTAAGCTTTGCTGCGTCCACAAAAGTCATAATATTTGCATTCGCTACCAAGTGTTTGTGTTGGAGTGTAGAGCTTTATTAAAAAGCAATAAATCATGACAGTGCAACAAGTCAACATCTGTCTGTTTTCATGATGCAGGCATTTATTGTGGGTGCTAATCTATTTTGTGTATTTAACGTGGAATTTATAGCCTTTTACGCAGACTTTTATAAGAAGTTGTGGAGAAGAGTGTTTTTGTAGAGCTGGATTAACAACATACAGAGGTGTTAAGAGAGACATTGGTGTGGGGCCCACACATGTTAAAATAGAAATGAACAAATTGCCATGGCGTGTACATGCCCTAGCCAGTGTATTACTGCGAAAAGATTTTTTTTTTTTTTTTCTAAGCTGGGGAAATGCTTGATTAATTTATTGTTTCCATTAATTATATACTCTAAAAAATAAATGGAATATGGCCGTTTAATTTTTGTAGCTGATCTGCTACATTAACTTGATAACGAAGACCATATATTAATTTATATGCAATTATATTTTTAAGCTATGTGTATCAGAGTTCATATGAGGTACATTGGCTACTGCAAGTTTTCTTTTTTTCTTTTCTTTCTTTTTTTATTTCCTTTCTTCTCGTCTTTCACTATACCCCTTAAGGACGCTGTAGTATTGTATTGTATTGTATTGTATTGTATTGTGGGTATGGGTTGCTGCTTTGGAACTGTAAAATGTCTGTGTGGTGGTTTGTTGCAGATTTTGCAGTGTTTCACAAATTCACATTATCACACAATTTAAATTTTAGAGATTGCTATCCTTTTGTGTAAGCAAAGAACAATGCAGAGGTTCAATACAAAAGTAGTGTAATTTGATGGTAAATACATGTGACTGGGAATTGTAGTTTAAAAACAGTTGGAACTCTGGCATTTCAACAGCTGTTTGGTCTACTTGAAAGAGGCACAGTCATGTGTGCCTATTTTGTATTGGAATCTTGTTTGGGGGGTGGGAGGGTATTTGTGAGATATATAATATTATATAAAAAACTTTAACAATATTATACAAAAGGCAAACCTAATATAGTTTTGTTATAGAATGTGTACATGAGAGGAGTGAATGGTTTGTGCAGAAGAGCTTATATTTTGTCTGAGACTAGGGTGTATTTTTACATAAGGTAGAATTGCAGTATGCTAAGTTGTGGTCCAGTCATGTCTGCTATCTTCGTAAGAAATAGAAAGTGAGATGTTCTCTGTCTGTATCTAAATATAAACGCCAGTATGTATTACGTAAGCATAAGGCAAAGGGAATTGCATGGCAAATAATATCAATATCCTCATAAATAAGGGATTGCACTCCCACCTCCCGCCATACTACTTACCAGAACACAAACGTGTGTGTGTGTGTGTGTTTTTTAAATTTATTTTTTTGCTCTCATTCATGATTTTCATAAATCGCCAAGTTACATTTTTATTGTATAAACTAGACTAATGCATGAGTGCTATGTGTTCAGTAATTATTTCCTGATATGTACTTTGCAATACATGTTTGGAAAACGGATAATATATTGGACCTGTATATAGTGGTTAGGAGTTGGCTAAGTTGATGTCAAGGAATCTGAATTCATTTTCCATTGGGGTTTGTGTCCTTTTTAAACTGCTTATGCTTTCTTTTAGTGCCTAAACCATCAAATTAAAAAAGTATACTCCAACTACTATGCATGAAATGAAGATTGGACATTTTTTATTTTTACATATATATTTGTGACGGGGGAGTAGGGGGAGGGTGGGAGACTATTTGTGTGTGGGGTTTTTTTTTTTTTTTTTTTTCTCACAAATATCTGTCTAGATTTTCCATTGTGTTTTAAACGGGGTAGCATTAAAGGACAGTTGTAATAAAATTTTCACTTCTCATATATTCTAAAAGTTTATTATATTTATGAAATGTATTGATGATAAAATGTATATAATTTTTAAAAAAAATTTTTTTTCATGTTAACTTAATGGCGAATAATGTTTGCTGCAGTAAAGTGATTCTTTTGGAAGGCTCACATTAAGGAATTGCATGTTTGAGGCCATAATAGTTGAAATGGAAAATTTCTTCCAACTTTACTTTTTTAAGCTGTGACATTTTGTCCCTAACATTTGCTGTTGCATTGTAATTACCCCTTCCTTTACGGTATAATTGAATAAACCCCTTTTTTCTTAATGTGTTGCCTTATCACTACATAGATTGTGTAGGTTTTCTTTTCGGTTAGTTGCTGCACCATATTCAGCACTGTGTGGCCTGGCTAACCAGCTTTGTCTAATGTGTCTGAAGAGTTTACTGTTGACTCACAGGATGCTGTGGTGGCAATATTTGTTTACTATAATTCCCATAAACTCTTGCTGAATCTGCTACTTTACATGGATATACTGTGGAATCCTTGACGTAATCATTTCTTAATACACTCTTACAAAATGGGCAAGCGCCTTTCCTTTTCTAAAAGTTTTTGTGTTGGCAAAAGTTAATACTTTCAAATGTCTTTAAATCCTAGAACTATACTGTAATACACAATCGGGACACTTCTCAAAGTATCACGTTCTTAAAAATGGTGCAAAGTTTGAAATGCGAGCTATCACCATGGACACCAATCGAATTGGCTTTTACCTGTCCAAAGGTGAAATCCCCAGCCTTAAATTCCTGCAGTAATGATACAACGATAGACTTGATTTAAAAACTTTAAAGGGTCTATTCATGGAATCCATACTTTGATAATTTTTACACTTCTTTTCCAGTGCTGTTATTTTGGGATAAAGATAACTAGGTGAGATCTGGTCTTATAGCTGCTTTTTTTTTTTTTAATATATATATATTTTTTTATTAAATTTTTTTCTACAATAAATGATCATAAATACACTGAGTGCGTTCTGTTCTGACATGCACAAAAGTTGTTTGCCAGTATCTTGGTCAGGAACTGGAAGTTAGTCAGTCTTTGCCTGAGCATGCAAGCCACCATTTTTTTTTTTTTTTTGTCTGCCTTTATGTTGGCAGAAGAACCTATCTCATCTTAAACAATTTAGTTTTCCAAAATGCCGGTGCTCCTAAAATGGCTGGTAGACTTATATCCACTCCGTATACACAATCCCATATACACAATAACGGAGTGTGTGTGTATATATGTAGCAACTTTTGTGGTAGAGAAGTGGGGATTATATTTCCTGAGTTATTCACTGAAATGCCATTTATTAGGCCAAAATATTGGTTCTAAAAACATACCAATATAGGGAATGTTTTCACATTTAGGCTATTGTGGCCTACAATTAGATTTCAGACCATTTTATATTTTTTATAGTATAAATGCCAATTTATTCTGCTTTTGAACCTGCTTCGATGATCTTTTTAAAATCTTAAGTTCTTAGAATTGTACCCATGGAATCTTGAGTCCCTTAATTTCCATGGTAACTGCTCATTGTCTTTAAATAATTTCCACAGAATTGCTTGTACCGGAATCTAAAATCTTTGCACAATAAGCAGAACGATACTGTTGGAATTTCTTCCCCTCCCATTTTTATATTCCCTCTGCTACATAGATTATATGATGGGCCCCCTTGAGTTTTAAAGCTTACCTTTTTCAGTCTATTTTCTATAGTCAACTAACTGAATCTGAGCCACAGGTTCCGCCCCCACCACTTCCTGTTTTCTCCGTAGTCTTGTTTTATGTTTCCTGTTGTCTGTCCTTTTGCTGACCTACTATTGGTGAGTGTCTGTCTGTCAGAGCTGTGATTGGTGCAGTTGTTTTCAGCTGTAAACTCTCCAATTGCCGGTCTGAGAAGGACATCAGGAAGATGAAAATTGGAAGTGCTGGTGAAGACCATTGCTACTTTTCAGTCTTATGAAAAAATATGGCTGCTTCCTACTTGCATTGCTATTGTGATGTCTGGATTTAATCGAACGGGGAAAGAAAACAAATACATTTTATAGTTATTTTCTAAGTCTGCATTAGTTCATAGGACAGTGTTGTTCAACCTTTTTGACCCTCACAAAATAGAGTATTGACCAACTTCTACAGAATGTATTGTATTTTCTGTTTTGTAACCTTACCAGTTATATGCAAGTTAAAGCCTGATATGCCTAAATTGTTTCCTGTGCTCCTCGATTATCCTGTTTATTCTATCAACATAAATGTAAAAGTTCCTTTAAAGGGGCCTATTGCAGCGTCTATGGGCATAATCCCCTGTTCTTCATTCTTGAAATATCTTGAAGATTGTTTAGAATTCAGTGATTTCAATGCGCACATGTGGCACCTTGTTTGCCATATTTCGATTTGTTGTATATTTGGATGGCAGTGATAAACTGAGTGTGGGTTTTGTTTTTTGTTTTTAACCTGATAAGTATACTACTTTTTTAAGTTTATAAACATCCAAAAAATGGGTGGGGGGGGGGTGGTAGAAGAAAAATGTATAAAGGCAATACTCGAAGAGCCAGCCAACGTAGAAGTCTAGTGTTACATTGTTAGGGGCTAGAGGCTCAAATGGCTATGAAGCGCAACAATTGCTCAGACGCCTTCTTTTTCCAAGATCAAATCCCACAAAGATATGCTAGTACATAAAAAAAGATTAAGTGATTAGAAAATGGGAGGAATTCATAAAAAAAAATAACTTTTAACATGTTTTGTAGGAACAAATGTGCTTTTAACTTGGCGGTGTCTGTGGAACAGGTATTTTGCCTAGATTATAGGATTTATTCTGTTGATCACACATTTGTCCTCTGTGTTGGATTGTTTCACCATGCCTGTAAATTCTGCATTCTGATAGGACTAGAGTTCTTTAAAGATTTACAGTAACTTGTGCAAACCTGTTTTTCAAAAGCACCTCTTCTTGGCTCAACATTCCGACTTTTTTGTTGATTTTTCAAGCTGTCTAAGCATTCTCTCGTATTTAAAAGAAAATAAAAACAGTGCTTCAACAAGGCAGAAGAAGCCGCAAAAAAATGACAACCTATAATGAAGACATTTCACTGGATTGCTTTTATGTAATCTCTGACTAGAGGGTATACATTTATCTTTTATGCCTCCGGGATCCTGGTTAGATGTTGGCCTACTACTGCCCTTAGGATATGTTCTTTCAGAACTGCAGGTAATATTGCATCTGGTCTAATTAAAATGCCATCCTTTTATTTTCATACACATATATATATATATATATATATATATATATATATATATATATATATATATATATATATATATATATATATATATATATATATATATATATTAAATATATAATGTTCTCCTAGCCATGATTAAAACCTGATTTGTGAGATAACATCTTAAATTGCCTGCCAGATTGTGGTGTTTGGCTCTGCGCATTGGAGAGCCGAGTTGCAGGTGCAGACAGAAAAGGTATAGTTCCACAGAAATCTATTGTGCTTTTGATGTATAATTTCCACTTGAATGCAAATATTTATTGGAATGCTGAATCGTAGCTTGTGCTACATTTTTATACTGGAATATATTTGAGACAATGCACAATTGGATTATTTGTTTTACCATGGTCCCATTCTGTTGCAATCATGGGTTTCAAGGACCCTTATGGAGATATAGAATTTTTTTATAAATCACACTCCTATACAGTGTGTGTGTGTCTATCAATATCACATACACATTTGCTTTAAATAAGAAAATGAAAGTGTGTTTGTGGATTAAATTTTTTTTAAAGTCCTGTTTGTTTCTTCACTGTGGGTTGTATTTACCTGTGGAGTCTTTTATAACTTAGTTTGTTGTAGGTGAAAAAGAACTAGATTATAACGCAAGTCTACCTGTTGGTGCATCTTTGATTTCAAATTTGACATCAGCATAGCTTAACTGAAAGCATAGCTGACTGAAAATTAAACCAGTTTGCGTACTTTGACTTTGAATTTCCAACAATTCTGAATCTTGTAAATAATCCCTTTCAGTAAATTTTGTGTGTTCCTTTTTGCTCTTAGAAACTCCTCATTCACATAACCCTACAACCCACTGCAGTGATGATGGTGCTAGTAGTTGACTGGTACTCTGACTGTTCAAGGATGGTTTGACAATTTGCCTGGGGTGTATTGAAACCACTAGAATGTTAGGAAATCTACAGATAACCACATTCTAAAACAATGTCAGCTGGCCATTAAAATGTAGTATTGTGTTTGAGTGCCACCATAAAATTGATGGAAGCACTAGGAAAGTATAAAATAGTTGTCCTTTGCCTCCCCACACAGATATCACTTTTTTTTTGATGGGGGAGGGGAGTGAAGTGTCATGCTGCTTTCGAGGGAGCTAAATATGGTGGCGATTTTGTTTAGGAGCCTACTGTTCATCTTATCATTAAGAAAAGTCTGATTTGACGTCTAGATAAAGCAAATCTAATCATCGTACTATCGCTTGAGTAGATAAGTGTCTCGCAATATGAAATTGGTTAAAGTATATGGACAGTAGCACAGGAAAAGGTGGAAGAATTGGTGTCAGCCTCCTATATTGGTATGATAAGATACTATATTAGCTTAACCCTTTCTTAATTTTTTTTTTTTTTAATTTTTTTTTTTAATAAAAGGCGCTGTTGAGGTTATCCTTGAACTGATTAAGGTGATTTACCATTTGCCTGGTATAAAATATAAGGTACATAGCATTATATCGCTTATATTGCATTATATAGCATTATATTGCAGGTTTTCGTCCTTCTCCAATGTTCTCACAGACATGACTTGGTCTAGAAATGTTTCAGTAGCCAATGACTAGACAACACATGGCCTCGGGCTTTGAAGCTGCATTTCATATCTTAACCTATAAGCTACTTGTTTTATGTAATCTTAAAAGCGTAATTGGGGCTTGTTGGTTCTTTTTTATTGAAGTTCCTGATGAATGAAATCTAGTCAACGTAGCTTCCTTGCCTAAAGGAAAACTGTACTATCTTTCAGTTTATTATATTTCAGATGTATTCTATATATTAATATACTGTATATCACCAAACACCATTCCAATTATTTATCAGTAATATTAACATTTTAAAAGTATTTTTACCTGGTTTTATTTCAGTTGTTTTAGTTAACCTTGCGGCAATGCGCTCCGCCCACTTTCGCGTCATCCGTTACTTATTGTTCGGGTCCAATCACTAGCTTCTCATAGAGAAGCATTGCGGACCATGCGCAGCATTTGCTGCTATGCGCCAGTTAAATTACACTTATAGGGAATCATTGAATTCAATGATTCCCTATGAGAAACTGCGAATGCTCGGTTGCGTAGGCGCTCCATTTGCGTGTTCACGAGCAGTGACCTGAATCAGAGATCATCTCTAATCTGCTGTAGCGTCCTTAATATTTTGGATTGGATTGTTTAAATGTGTGCCTATTGTCCTGTCTCCCCTGGCCCCCATCTGCTGCTCATGGGTGGGGGCCAAAGGGGGATGAGACAATATGCACCCGTTTAAACAATCTAAATACTGACATAGGTCCTCCCGCACCTATAAGCGGCGGATGAGGGCCCTGGTGACAATGGGGCGGGGTAGAACATAGGTCCCACCCATGATCAGCGGGTGGGGGCCCTAATGGCCCCCACCCATGTGTGGCAGATGGGGGCCCAAAATTACAATGGGGGAACATATTTGTCCCCCCTCCCCCCCCTTCCTGGTCCCCACTTATGGGCGACGGGTGGGGGCTACGTGAAAACCCCACGCCCCCCACAAGGTGACTAGGGGAACACCGACATTCGGTCTTTGTTCGTGTGAAATTTCTAATCATTCATTTATCTTTCTGACTAATGAATAGACAAACTTCTGATATCGCGGGAGCGCGCATTAGGGGCAAAATGATACGTAATGTCAGTTATGCGTGCTGATGTCCGAGTATGATTGGGTATGAGAGCAGGGAGGTTACATTCCCGGCTGGCTTGGGGGCGTGGCTTAAAGCCACTCTTCAATGCCTTCATAAAGCATAAAAAAAATGATTTGAAAAAGAGACTGAAAATATTTAAGGCACTCTAACAACTTTAAATGAGATTAAATTGTTACAGTGCCTACAGTGTTCTTTTAAATGTCACATCTGTAGACTATTGCAATGAATCCGCATGTAACAATCGCTGTATGTTGATGCCATCTGCAATGAAGTGGAATAGTCATCGCCTTATTTTTAGAAGGCCTAAGTGGGTAAACTAGATTGTTGTATGTGTAAAGCTTCAATTTTTTTAAAGTGTCACTGTCAGCACCATTTCTAAAATGATTATTTCATAAAGATAGAATCAAAAGATGAGATTCTAAAGTAGGGACTGCTACAACTTTGCCTGTGCTTGACAAAGGGGGTTACCTTTTTGTCAAGCTTGTCATTTTCCCAATGGCAGCTGTAAGGAAGAAGCTCCTTCTATGGAGGGTCTTGCAGACCTCAATGCTGTACTTTCATGCATGTGCAAGAGTACAGCGCTGACATCTACTCCTGGCAGCTGTAGAGCTAGGAGCCAATGAGGAACGATTTTAAAAGAACACTAGAGGCACCCAGATTAATTCAGCCCCCTATTTTATCCCTGCAGCTGAAAACATAGCCGTTCTGCAGCAACACCAATGTTCTCTTTGCAGGTTTAACAGCTGGTAGAAGCAGGAGGGGCAGGTCATCTTAATGGGGGCACTATAGCGTTGGGAATACAAATGTGTATTGATAACGCTATAGTGTTCCTTTTAATGAAACACACTCAGGACACCATATCAACCGCTGTATGGTTATAGTTCCAGGAATATCCAGTTACCGTTTGCCAATGTTGCCCAAGAGGGAGCTATATTGCTAGGAATACAGCATTGTATTTCTAGCACTTTAGTATCCCTTTAATTTCTCTCAGAATCATATCTTCTAGTTTAAGAACTTCTTATCTAATAAAGATTTGTTGCCATTTAAGCTATATTAAAGCTGTTATTTGCTGTTTTGTTTGCTCACGAAGGTCAGAGGGTTACACTAGGATTGTTTGGTGGGGTCCCTCCTGTAGTCCCCAAAACAGTTTGCCCAACATAACGTTTCTATTGTTTATATTGCTCAAAGACAAATTATACGCTGGGTATATGAATACCTTAAACGTTTTTGTGTCTTTCTTGTTAAGGAATGTACTGTAAGTCTCCCCCCTTCCCTCTGCCCCATAATAAAGCATTTTGATGGAAAAACAAAGGATCTCAACCTATATTTGTGTTTCTCTTTACTTGGAACTTCTAGGCACAATACAGTTTAGGTAATGTATATTTAAGCTGGGGTTTAATGTTAATAGTTTGTAATAATGACTCCCTTTATCTTGTAACCATCATGGAGTACGTGTATAAATAAATTGTATGCTCTGGCATCTACAAAACACACAACCAAATATATATAGCGGGGGAATAGGCTTAAAGCACCTCTGTAACGTTCTGGGGTCTTTGATTATTTTGCAAAGACCCATGTTGGCAACTTTGCTTCTTGGTGTGCACTTGTGTTGAGGTGAGATGTACTTACCTGATGCTAGCTCTCCGTCTACCTTGCCAGTCATGCCAGTTTTGCTGTAGGATTAATTGTATTGATTTCCAAGTCTTTTGGCCACAAACTTGGTGAATTTTGGAGATTATAATAATATGACTTTATTATAAAACGGTCTTGCCATACAAATGATACTTTGTAGTTGCATAATATTGATGATGCCTCCAATTGTGTGGGGTGTTTTTAACCCCTTTTGTCACGTACCTGATTTCAGCGTCAATGTCCCTTGGTTCAGGCTCTGACATAATCCAACGGGAAGACCTAATGTGCATGCATGGCGATTGGCGACACTGGCATTGATACTTCCCACACAGGAAAGCATGTATAATGCATTTCTATAGGGTTTTACATGGCGCTGGATGTACTCCTTTCATAACGTGAGCTCATCCAGTGTTTGTAGGCGACCAAAAGTCGCCTAACCACTTGGAAGTTCCTCTAGTGTCTTTCTGTTAGACAGCCACTAGAGGTGGAGTTAACCCTCAAAGGTAATTATTGCAGTTTATTAAAAACTTTGAGGAGTTTAAGGCACCTGGGACAATGCACCCAGGCCACTTCCATGAGCCGAAGTTGTCTGAGTGTCCCTTTAATTTCAGAATGAATCCTATCATCTCTAAATTATTTTAATCAAAAGTAAACATTGGGATATCTTTTGAAACCTATAGACAATGTTTAACTTTTTCTGTATCTTATCAGAAATACTGGAGTTTGCTGTAAGGAAACTGCAAGTGATAGCAGTTGGTTTGATTTATGGATTTATTTAAAAAAAAAATAATGTATTTATCAGTTCTTTTTAATCAAGGAGGACATACTTGACAGACATAGCGTAAGCAAATTATTTCAGTTTACAAATGTTAATTCCTAGCACATGGGAAGTAACAAGAGAAGCCGTGCAGTGTTTGTCTGATCCCGTCTTGCATCGTGGTGCAGGTTCTCCATTACTAAGGTATGGTTAATGAGCAGGGCTCTAAATCACTAACATTTTACTACTGTAAATAGAAAAGGTGTGTAGGTCAATGAACTTCTGCTCAGAAGCCATCATCCTCTAATTAATAGGCATATGTGCCAAAGGTTACAAATATTTTGCTTTAAAAAACGCACACAAAGTGCAGTTTAACTTGCTGTATGAAAATAATGGGGAAAACTCCTTTTAGTTATTAACGACTCTGTCATGGTAAACTAGAATACTATTTTGTATTGTTATGTATCTCCTTTATGACTATTAAATGCATTTCTATGGAATAGTGTTCTTGTTTATTGTAGATTAAGTATTTCGATTTGGTATAAACATTCCACACTAATGTATTGCGGGATACTGTGTCTCACTTGGGTTGGAATACGTTCTATAAAAACGGCAGAGCTTACACAAGAATCTCTTAAAAACATGACTTTTTTTTTAATATTTTTTTAATGTGTAATTTTAATTTTTTTTTTTTTAAATTAATCTCACAATGAAGCTCATTTTAAATAATGTTTTGTAAACATACTTTTTTTTTTTTTTTTTTCTTGAAATTGTCAATTGGGGGAGGATGCCAAATATTAGTCAAGGAGGGTAGACTCCCAATTACTTCAGCATTTATTCAGCATATAATTGGTGATACGTGGAAGAAAACTGCATTTATGAAAATAATCTCTCAAATCTTACAATTCCTGGCTTGGTGAATACATCAGAGGGGGTCTCCACAATCTCGCCTTAAAAAAATCTGCACTACATGACACTTCTGTTGGATGGTTAAATGCCTCAACTCTGGACCACACAGAAGTACTACCTGGTCTAACCTATTGATATATTTTTGGCTACAGTCTACTCCATATACTTTGCCTGACAATACATTTTGTGCTTTGGGGCACTTGTATACAATAATAATACAATAAAGAGTTCATATGAAGATCTCATTGACTTCTGGTCTGCTTTTAGTGGCTCTTCACTGCCCAAATACAAAATAAATAAATCACGGTTTAATAGTGTGGCTGTCCAATCACAGAGTTCCCAATGCAATTCAAGGAGAAGTCTTTCGAAGGCAGGTGCTCTGGGTAATTGCTGCCTCTTGAGTTTGGCTCCACTGAGCTAAAAAAAACAGGAAGTAGCATCACCTGTTGTCTGCTTGAAAGCCAGGGGGTGTAACCAGGTAAATTTAGAAAAGTGTCAATTTCTATTGAAATCTGAACTTTTGTCACTTTGCACGGAGGACACACAAAGCTTTTTAGAGGTCTGGAGTGTCCCATTATGGGTATATACCTGTCAATCATAAAGAAATTGCCTTCTGTTTTGGTAACCAGAGCGTTGCATATCTTTTTATATACTGTTCTGGAATATTAACTGCTTACCTTCTATACTTGGTACAAATGATTCTTGGATATGAGGAGCAAATCTGACTGACTTTACAGGAACGAGCATTGATTCCTGTATGGTTGGTCATCTATGTAACTTCTAATTAACCCAACCATAATTATATTTATTATTTTTAATTGACCACTACAACCAGATGTGGGGGATATTCATGTAAATCTTAAATGTTGGCAGCAGAAGCGTTGGCTAATGAGGAAAGGTATTCTATGGGAAAGATTCAGGTAGGTTATTATATATTATGGGATTATACATTGTTTACAATGGAAATGTATATTATTCCATTGCAAATCTTGAGCAGTGATCATAGAAAAGTCTTCATTAGAAGACTAGCAATAATACAAATACATGTTTTAGCCATTCATATACTAGGCAGGTGTACATCCTACCAAATGGGTCAGCGATCCAGCTCTGACGGATTTACAAGGAAAGCGAAAGTGACATAGAACGTTATTCAAGGATAACATATTGAAGATATTTGCATGAGTGAGCCATGTTAAGCAGCAAACCGCTCCACTTTATGTTGCTGTCCTTATGGATTTCATTATTTCCAAGACATTTGGAGAGCAGTGTGTGGTCCCACAACCAGCACGAATTGAGAAACAAAAGGACAACAGGAGGCATAGGGAAGGCCAGAAAAATCTGTTACATGTGAAACTATGTAAAATGCACCAAAGTTTAAAACATAGAATTCACATATTCACACCCAAAGTAATTCAGTACGGGCTGGTGTGAGCTTTAAATTATTGAAAATAAAATGCGTATCTAGAATGATTTTGGCATCTTATTAAATAAGATTAATAAAAATAAAGTAAAATTGGCAATGAAAAATTTGTGATATAGAGATATATATATATATATATATATATATATATATATATATATATATATATTTTTTTTTTTTTTTTGTTTTTTTGACTGCTCAAATGTAAATGAATTAAATGAATACTATACTAAATGTAGTAATTTACTTTTATTTTTAATTTTTTTATCTTAATTTTTTCTTTCTAATGTTTTGTTTTTGTTTTTTTTTAGCTGGATGTAAATACTTTTCATTGCGCTTTCCTGCTGAGTGTTGTTCTCTTGTTTTGACCACATTTATTAAGTAGTGTAATCATGTGGCATGACTCTGCCTGCTTGAAATTATTTTGGTTTACTTGAAAGCTATGAGCATGTGGATAAACATTTCAATTGATTTGAACAGTACTTTTCCAGGCTGAGATGAATAGAGTTGGAGTGCATGAGACTGTTGCTGTCGGACTGCGATTCAGAGCATTAAAAAAAAAAAAAAAAATACCCTGAAAGATGATTTGAATACAGCAGGACCCCAACATATGGTGTACCAGTCTGAAGCACTAGTAGTCTAGTTATTGACACTGTTATCGAAGTCTGTGTTATGCATCCTTTTTATTTTTAGTAAACTCTAATTCATAGTAAGGTGTGTGTGTGTGTTACATATACTGGGTTTATTTAGTAATGATTTTTACGAAGTTCCACCATGAGCCATTTATGAACTGTTGGATTGTATGTCTGTTAGAGAGTTGCTGAGCTTCAGCATGTCTTTGAATTCTGACCTAACCTGGTGACTGTGCTAGACCAAGATAGATTTGTACTCTTGTTTTTAAAGCTTGACACAGTCACCCAGACCACTTGGTATAGGATGGGATTTAGCAAAGTGTCAGGCCAGGCTATATTATTTTTATTGTATTTTTTTTTATTTTTTTATTTTTTTTAATAGATGTATTAACCGTGTTGTCCGCATTATAATAAAGGTATCTGGTTCTACAGTGATCAACTTGAAGTTACACATTTGTAATGACATAGATTAAAGGTCTAGGCTGGATTAATATAGGGGCTGATGGAGCTGAAATTCCATGTCCAATAAGTAGACCAGTGATGGCTAACCTTGACACCATAAAATGTTTCTGGACTAAATTTCCCATTATGTAGAGTCTAAAAGCTAGATGAGCATCATAGGAAATGTAGTCCAGAAACCATTTATGATGTCCAGATTAGCCATCACTGAAATAGACCCATTGATTTAATGAAAATGGGGGGTGTACATAATTTTGTTTTTTACTTGCTATTCTTCAAATGCTGTTGGGAGGGATGACTGTTTTAGTCGATAAGGTTCTGTAATTGGGCCCATCATTGTCAACTCCAGGCCCAATGGGCTCTTAATCTGACCCTGTTTAAGGTCTTTTTATAGTCAATGGGGTTGGAAATGTCTCATTAGGAAGTTACCATAGACTGTGAAGAGGGATTTGGCAAATGACAAGAAGCCACAGTTTGCCATTAGGGCTGTATGGTCGTTAAAATGTGAGTGCTAATTGTGACAAGTTTTTGTTTTTATTTATTTTTAATTGATTTATTTAATTCAATCACACGTGGCAAGCGGCTTAAAACTTTCAGGAAAGGTTGCCTGATGCATTTTATTTTTTTTGCTTTCTCCAGAATCAATAATTAGTTACTTTGGTCATGTGCCCAGTTCTTTAGATGTAGCTGTGTGCACTTATTTTCCTCAATGTAATAAATGGTCTGCGGTTTTATGAATCTATAGTGCTTCTTCATTCATGTAATGCTCCGAGATACAGAATCAAGCAATGATGAGTTTTTAAAGGACCACTATAGTGCCAGGAAAACATACTCGTTTTCCTGGCACTATAGTGCCCTGAGGGTGCCCCTATCCTCAGGGTCCCACTCCCGTGGCGCTGAGAGGGGAGGAAGGGGTTAAACTTACCTCTTTCTCCAGCGCCGGGTGGGGAGCCGCCCTCCTCCTCTTGGGCTGAATGCACAGGAGCCGCGCGCATTCAGCCAGTCCATAGGAAAGCATTCTCAATGCTTTCCTATGGATGCTGGTGTCTTCTCACTGTGAAAATCACAGTGAGAAGCGCAGAAGCCCTCTAGCGCCTGTCAGTAAGACAGCCACTAGAGGCTGGATTAACCCATAGGTAAACATAGCAGTTTCTCTGAAACTGCTATGTTTATAGAAAAAAGGGGTTATACCTAGCTGGACCTGGCACCCAGACCACTTCATTAAGCTGAAGTGGTCTGGGTGCCTATAGTGGTCCTTTAATTTTTTGTACCCAATCATATGTACTATCAACTGGAATATTGGAGCGTCTGAACATTGCAAGGATAAATTTTGCCTTTATAAAATAAGATATGGCTTCCCTACAACTTTTACCCAGCTTACAACTTTTCTTTTTGTTTGTTTTAATTGTTACTATTAACTATGCTCCCTGCAATGGTTCCATTTCTGGTCCTCCTTTGCAATGTTTGTCCGGACTTTGCCTTGTCTGAACAGGGTTGTGATGCCATTTGCTAAGTCTTTAATAAATATATATATATATATATATATATATATATATATATATATATAAAATATAATTTCTTACATAAAACTGAAGATAATAAAATTTTAAAGGGGTGGGGGTTTAACACGAGTTATAGGTGATCTTCCGTGGTATAAACGCGAGAGGTAACTGTTCCCATTTTAAGAAATGCAAATAGAGCAATCATGCTTGTTTCTGAATATTGACTACATCAATGATCAATAAAGTATCTATTCTACTTTGCATTGTTGGAGCTGTACATGCTGTGTTTTTCTTTCTTTTTTTTTTTTTTCGTGGGGTTAGACCATAGTTTTAGATTTACGCAGTTCATGCCTGTTATTGATTAGAGCATGGTCTATTTTGTAAGAGATTCAAAATTAATTGTGTAAAAATCCATGTAAGTGCTTTTATATGAGGCTCAAGAGACTGTGTACCCTGTAATATTAAAGCAAGTGAATTATTTTACTGTAATATGTGCATGCAGTCTGCAACAATTACAGAATTCATATATTGGTGCTTTAACCATTTATTGATTCATATAGCTTTTGTTTAAAGCTGTCACCCCCCCCCAAAACGGTGTTCTGATGCTTTACTTCCCTAAATACAAGATCACATGTTACTATAAGACTGTAATGTGTATCATTCTGCACTTCAGCTGATCCTGTGGATGATCAGTATTATGGAAAAGATGGTTCAAGTTTACCATTACTGCTAAAGCACAACTTATATGAGCGTGTTGGAAATTCAATGGACAAATATTGATGCTGTTTAATATTAAAGGGACACTATAGGCACCCAGACCACCTCATCTCATCGAAGTGGTCTGGGTGCTGTGTCCCTTAACCCTTTAATGTAAACATCAGTTTCGCTGAAACTGCAGGGTTAAGACTGTCTCTAGTAGCTGCCTGGTTGACTTGGCAAAAAAGACTCTGAGCGACCTCATGCTTTGCATGAGACTGTCCAGCATGTTGAAGTCCCCCATTGGGAAGCATTGAATAAAAGCTTTCCTATAGGTAAGGCCTAATGTGCTTGCCGCGCATGCTCATCAGGTTCCCCCTGGATTGCTGACGTCTGAGGAACCAGACTCCGTGCAGAGGGACTTAACGTAGGGAATCAGGTAAGTGTTTAGAGGTTTCTCTTTGCAACCCTTTACTTGGTGGTGGCAGCACGGTCAATCATTTTTAGTGTTTTGGGACAGTATGTTGGGCACTTTTGTATTCCTAATGCTATAGTGTTCCTTTTTAATAAACAAAATAACCTCATACATGTGTGGGAGGGTGAAAAAGAGTTGCTGAATGGAATTTCGAAGTACTTGGTCCTTACTCTTGGACTTGATTTGAATTGTTGGCTGATAAATTGACCGTTTCTTTACCACTCTGTGTTATTCATTTTATTGATTTCAGGATAAATGCGTAAGCTTGCTGGGAATAGAACTTAGAAGATTTAAACGGGTTCTACAATAGCTGTTGGCCAATATACCTATCTTAGGGCGTGAATGTGTACAATCTACTTACTGCAACTTATATTGGGAACGCCATCGGGATTATTCGCTAAAGTATGCAAGTGTGAAATGTCAGGAATTCAAAGTTCATTTCAGATTTAAGGTCCAAACAACTGACTTAGAGAATTTTTCCAGTTTGGCTAATTTTACTTTAAATTTTTCACTTTTTTTATTTTTTTATTTTTTTACTAAACGGAGTTAAGATGAGTTGCTACCAAGCACGCATAACCATTTGTAAACTAGGAAGAATGTCTCTAAATTAGAGATTTTGGCCAATTTATAAACGAATTTGTACCAATCTGATGCGTCGATATAGCCTCTATCTCCTTAGATTTGCTTGTGGATGGACAAATTAGCTTCTCTTGTAACAGTGTTCCAAGGGAGGGGGAGTGAATGTTCAAAATCTGAAATAAAATGCAGTGGTATTGAAGATATATTGCAAAATACCTCACCTTGTCCGGCAGCAGTACTGGATTATTATTTCCTAATCCGCACAATGTTACATTTCCTAACTTTGTAATAACGTAATATTTATAGACCTATGTGTGTTTGATTTGAAGCACTATTTGTAATGATCTCACGGAGTCTCAATCTAAATCTGGCTCTGTGTGTAGTGAATTTTCTAAAATGTGTAGATTTGAACATTAACACCCATCACCTCACTAAATGCCCATTTCAATAAATATTGTGATCTTATGTCACCAAAGACTCTTGATCCAAGTCAGTATGACTCAGGTCCAGTTATATCAATTTTGTCACCCTACTTATGCAAGGACAGATTTGGTAAATGTATTCTCTACAGGCCATATAAAAACCTATAAGCATGTCAAATCGTCTTCATGGGCACAATTTGCAGCAGACCTTAAAGTTCGTTTTTAAGGGTTATGTGTATCTATATAAAAAAAAGCCTGCCATGCCCATAGGGTACAAGCTAATCGGGGAATCCACAAAACCGTGCCAGCTTTCTATTGTGTTTGAACGAACCGTACACCCATTCATTTAGAATACCAAAAATAAACTCAAAATAATTAAATTCCAAAAACTTTTTTGACTTTTTTAGCCCAAAATGTAGTTTATAGGATACTGTAGTGTAGGGATAGGCAATCTTCGGCACTCCAGATGTTTTGGACTACACCCACCATAATGTTTTTACACCGTAATGCTGGCAAAGCATCATGGAAGGTGTAGTCCAAAATGTCTGGAGTTCCAAAGGTTGCCTATGCCTGCTATAGTGGCTACCAACTCGTCCTAAATAAAGGGTGGCTCCATTAAGGCAAAAACTTTAGTTTGTTTAAAAAAAAAAAAAACAGTTTAGCTCTAATGAAAATGAATGTTAAGGCTTTGCATGTGCAGCGTCCTGATGCTGAAATCACAGTAAGTGCACAGATGTGTTTCAGACACCAGGATAAAATGTGCAAACGCATGAATCATTTATGAGCCAGCAAAGTGAGGCAGAGGAACGGTGACAATGAGGAATTCTTAAGTGTTTCATAGTTTCATTTCAAATTGCTGTCGGCAAATCAGGTCAAGTTGTGTCAATACATTTTGTCACATTTCACACCTATTGTGTCTTGATGGTGCACTCTTTCTTCAGAATACATTAACTGCTGTGGGCTACTAATTATTTTCATTAAGGAGTGTTGGTACTGTGTACTGATTTCTTTTTTTCATCTTTACTGTGTGTTTTCCTGGATGTGGGCCTGTTTATAGGCTATCCTTGGCAATTAGATGGCAAGCTGTTGTGAGCAGTCATTTCATATTTTATATACTTTTCTTTGCTTGTTCCTCTAAACAAGTGACATAAAGCTACCTGAACACACTGTCCCCATCCAATACCATTTAATGGTCTACATGCCCTCCCGACTAAATAAAAAAAAATAAAATAAAAAAATTCTGAAGATTTGATAATACAACAAAGTAATTGAGCATTTTTTTTTTTTTTTTCTTCTTCCCACCCCAAAAACAAACAACCCAGTTTAGCCTGGTACGTGTGTGTGTGTGTGTGTGTGTGTGTGTGTATGTATATATGTTTATGTATATGTGTGTGTGTGTATATATTACAATTCCCTTTTTGATGACTAAAAAGTAGTTTGAACTAATTTTAGTAACTGTAAGCCTGCATGTAGGAAATCTGTCTTCTGCATATTGGGCATCTCTCCTTCCTTAAACACAAACTGTTTATCTTTAACCCCTTAACGACCTAGGACGGTTCAGGACCGTCATCGTCATTTTTGCATTGCCGACCGGTGACGGTCCTGAACCGTATACTTAACCGATGACTGTCCAATATACTTACCTGATCGCCGTCGTTTCTTAGAATGAAATTGTGTGTGTGTGTGTGTGTGTGTGTGTATATATGTGTGTGTGTGTATATATATATATGTGTGTGTATATATATATATGTATGTGTATATATATGTATGTGTGTATATATATATGTCCATATACACGTAGACTTCAAATATATAAATATGCATATATATTTAAATTCTACGTACGTATTTACGTAATATTTTTACATAATTTATTAATTGCAATTTGAGGGACCTGCCTGCCAACCCAGTCCAGAGAATTTAATTTGCTAGCACTGTATTTTACCCTGTAACTTTTTCTCTTACACCCTAAAACCTGTACGGGGGGGTACCGTTTTACTCGGGAGACTTCGCTGAACACATATTAGTGATTCAAAACAGTAAAACGTATCACAGCGATGATATTGTCAGTGAAAGTGACTTTTTAGAATTTTTTACACACAAACAGCACTTTTACTGATGATATTGTTGTGATACGTTTTCCTGTTTTGAAACACTAATATTTGTGTTCAGCAAAGTCTCCCGAGTCTAACAGTACTCCCCTATGTACAGATTTTATAGCGTTTTTGACAGTTACAGAGTCAAATATATGGGTCAAATATTTTGACATTGAAAATGGCCAGGTTGGTTACGTTGCCATTGAGAGCGTATGGTAGCCCAGGAATGAGAATTACCCCCATGATGGCATACCATTTGTAAAAGAAGACAACCCAAGGTATTGCAAATGGGGTATGTCCAGTCTTTTTTAGTAGCCACTTAGTCACAAACACTGGACAAAATTAGCGTTCAATTTAGTTTTTTTACTTTTCACACACAAACAAATATGAACGCTAATTTTGGCCAGTGTTTGCGACTAGGTATTGAATACCATGGGTTGTCTGCAAAAAAAATAAAATAAAAAACATGTACATGTGAGGTGTTATTCAGAGATTTATGACAGATAATAGTGTTACAATGTCACTATTGATAAATTTGAAAAAAATGTATGTTTTGAAACCGCAATATCCAACTTGTACCTAGAGCCCTATAACTTGCAAAAAAGCATGTAAACACTGGGCATTTTAAAACTCAGGACAAAATTTTGGTTCTATTTAGCAGTTTCTTTTATTCGCTTTTGTAGATGAGTTTTTCAAGTAAAAGTCAAAAAACATGTATTTTATTTTACATTTTTTTAATAATTTTTTTTTTTTTTTATTAAATTACATGAGATTATATAAATAATGGTATGTAAAGAAAGCCTTTTTTGTCCTGAAAAAAACAATATATAATTTGTATAGGAACCGTAAATGAGAGAGCGGAAAATTACAGCTAAACACAAACTCCACAAAAGTGTAAAAAGAGGCCTGGTCGCAAATGTACAACATCGCAAAAACAGTCCAGTCCTTAAGGGGTTAAAAAGTGAAACTTTTCTGGGAAGCTTGTTGTTGTGTTTTATTTTTTTTTTTAATATATAGAGATCACTGGTTGCTTACCCTGTTATTTACAGGCATATTTGTCAGGTGTGTTAAACTGACTGTTGGATAATTAGATAACTGTTCAATTGTGCAAGGCTATACACTGTATGGCTTTGTATTGCCTGTAAAATACTGGGAGCTCTCCAACATTCTGACTACACATATTGGATGTAGTTCTATGCTGGTTAAATTCTGTATCCCATGGCTTTTCAACTTTATTTGCAGAACAATTTTTATTTATTTATTTTTTTTAAATTTTATTATATTTTAATGACTGTGTGGCTAGTGTTACAACTGATAAAACCCTTACTGATTATGCAGTTCTTCTCCTGTCCGCAATCTAGCTTTCCAATCATTAAGCTGCCAACTGTGGGTACCATTGGCAGGTACTTGGTAAGGTGGACCTTGGTTGACTTTGAATCGTTCTTTTTGTCTGGATGTGTGTGTGTGTATGTATGTATGTATGTATGTGTATATATACATACATACATATATACTTATATATATAATTTTTTATTTTTTTTTATATATATAAATATATAATTTTTTTTTTATTTAATGGGAGTCCTGGAGCAGTCTTGCCAGACTCTGCTTTTAGACTCCGATCAATACTCCAGTAATTGAGAAGGCCTCTCACCACGTGTCTTGCATTTCTTGGGTTTGTCCATTTTGTGACCGCATTAATCTGGTTCATCAGAGTCCGTTTTTTGCCTGGTTGCATGTAGAGCCGAGCAATGCATGGGTCTCTCCCTTGATCACTCAAATGGTTAATGTGTATCCGTACAGCTGCAGTTGGAATTAAAAATAGAAAGACTTGGGTTTTACAGTACAAATCACAGCTTCGTGTTAGAAAAGGGTGCAGTGTGGGATGGGTTTTAATGCTGTGACACTATGCTATCTGCAATGCATCATTCTATTCCAGGTCTGGGGAGAATTAACTCCTCCGTACAATCAGGGCATCGAGGACACGTGCTTACTGGATGGCTTTCTAAGCTGTTACAATGTCAAATGACGCACTGTGCAAAATGCTGACAAACTCCAATCTCCAACCCATATCTTCCTCCCGAAATCACATTATTAAACGTCATATGACTCATCAGATCTGCAGCTAGATTTGCAGTTGAATCACTCCATGTGTTTGCTAACCTTGGTACTGCAGATATTTCTCAAATATATTTCCTATGATGCTGTGCCGAAGGTAAGAGTGGCTGAGCCTCATGGGAAATGTAGTATGTGAACACCTGGGATGCCAAGGTTAACAATCATTGTTATACAGTAGTTTAATGGTTGACCTCCAATTTAAAGGGCAGGTAATTCGAGTTTAGCATTTTTTTTTCCTTCTTCCCTTGCTTTTTGTTATAATCTTTAGAATTTTGTGTGTGTGTGCATTTCACACTCTGTTTACATGTATCATCCTTCAGAAACCCTGGGGACTCGGTTTACGTGTACTCTGGAAGCTACGTTATGGTTTTCCCTTTTTAAAGTTCATCTTCCTGTGTTTTGTCGAGACATTCTATTAAACCTATTTAGCTTCATTACAGGTGGAACCCTAGACTTCTCTTTGGCACCTAGGGCGTTTAAAAAGGAGCCGGTTAACCGCAAATACACACTAAAATAACTGATAGCATAAACATGGACAAGCTGACAGCACAAAATACATGACACCCCCAAATCATTCCATAAAGTATGGGGCCCATGGCTAGAGGGAAACAGTGCCCTCCCGTGGTGACCCACGACAATCTCATAAACCAACACCACTTCCACCAAACCACACCAAGATACAACTCTGAAGCTCACCCGTCTAACACCCTTAACCTACTTCATCCCATAGGGGACTCCGGGGGGTAACCAAGAGGGGCAGCACCGCTCCACCTTTCCCCCCCACAAACCCACCTCACCTGCCCTACCGCCCTCCCGATCAACAAAACAAACCCAATTACCAGGCTCTGCTGATTCAGCCCTTTCCAACAAATCTACTTAAGGCAGTAACCTCTAAACCAGCCAACCCCCCCCACCCCCAAAGACTCTTATCAATACCCCTGGCACCGCAGACCCACAAGTTATACCTCTACTCTCAGCCAAAGCAGGTAGCAAAATGGACTGCTGCCCATCCTTAGGTCTCACGAGACCCCACCAAATAGCGGTCCACGACAGAAGGTATAGCAAACGATACCAGAGACCAAAGTGCCAGATTCACCTGCAGACAACCCAATGTTATCCCTCACTGTTCTTACCCAATTAACCAATTTCTTTTTTTTTTCTGTAAGAAAGTCTTTTTTTAAAAAAATTTTATTTTAAATCTCTGCCAGCCATTGTGCTGCAAGTCTAGCTGGTAGAGCGTCTTGTGCCTTTATAAATTGATCTGTACATTGTCTGCTCCTGTTCTGTTAACCATCCTTTTGCAGCACAATGGGAAGCCATAAGGTCCTTAATTGTACAATATATGCAAAACACACTTGGTCCTGAATGAATTGCTAAATCAGATGATCAATAATTGGAGGTTATGTGCTTAAGGAAGTGGAATTGTAACCCTTTCCTTGCTTGAGTTTTTGCGGCACTGTGATATGAAATTGCAATTTCTTTCTAACCGTAGAGGTACGCTTCTAGTGATTACAGAGCCACATAATGTAGGCTTGCAGTTATACATGTACAGCATAAATGCAAATTATCCTTTAATTATTGGAATGCTCCGGCCATGGGCCCAATGCTTTAACGTGTGAAATTCTGAAATGGGTCACTTTGATGTTTTAAATGTATCCTTCCATTTATGTTTCAAAAGTCTAATAAAAATAACTTTTTTTTGTTTAATTCTAGGCATTCTGGAATTTATAAGTATAGCAGTGGGTTTGGTCAGCATCCGAGGTGTAGACAGTGGACTGTACCTTGGAATGAACGAGAAGGGGGAGCTGTACGGGTCGGTAAGTTCAAAACCATACTAAAATATAAGAAATAGCTGATTTGGAAACTTTCTCCAATCCTGATCTAGTTACAGGCAGAATATTCTACCCTAAATGTTGCAATGTAGTGTTTAGTATATTAACCCTGTATATCCAGTTCATTAATGTAACTTGAAAACCTTTGCAAAACAAAGGGGGGGGGAGGGGGGGAGGATTTATAAATAAAGCTAAACCTGGGAGACTAACTAATATCAGATGTAGCCTTATAATTTGAGGTATGGTCCATGCAAAATAGAACACATTTCTCTTTGCATTAAAGTCCTAGAATAAAACAAGAATACGTAATTCTATTGAAATGTTTTTTTACATTTTTAGAACACACAAAAAGATGCCAAATATCACACATCTACAATTAAAACCTTGAATTTAATTGAAAATGCGCACATAGATATTCATATTCCATATAACAGAATCTAGCCGTAAGTAATTTAATTGCAATCTCCCCATAGATATCAATGGATGAATTGCTATCCAGTAACTTGCCCATGATCACAGACGGATTTTAAATCTGTAAAACAAATATTTTGTAAGTTTAGTAATGCCATTTACAACCTTCAATAGTGAGAATATTTCCAAGGCGCTGCTTAAAATCAGGATATATTTGTCACCTACAAGAAAATCTAAAAAAGCAAAGCATTCGTAAATGAATGAAAAAGCTAAATGGGGAAATGCACAGCATATTTTGAGATTTGTGTGGTTGGATGAGTTAATGTGTGGCGGAGGTACAAAAGTCAGATGTGTGCTAAAAATGAATTGTAACACACAAGAATACATTGCTTTGTAAAGATTCAACCATAAATCAAACCTGTCAGTCCCCTGCTGATGCCCCCCCTCCATACAAATTCTCATTCATGTGTCTGCTAATGTCCTTGGGGTTAGAACGTTTTAGGCCGATCAGAAAGGGAAGAGGCTCTTGCATAATGAAGTAACCTGAGGGGTCTAGAAACAAAGTGAGATGGACGGCTCCACGCAAGACAACACAGAGCATTTAAGACATACCGATCAAACATAACCTATCTGTCAGGGCGCACAGCGAGCGATCACATGGGTTTGTAGAAAAGGATTTGCAAACGTAGCACTCATGGCTGATGGTTCTATTCAGTGATTCAAAAAACAGACTATATCCAGAAAAAAAAGGGGCAAAACAATGCTGTCAATTTAAAAAAATAAAATAAATTAAAAATAAATATTCTATACCCCTTTTTACTCTTTTGTAAAACCATTCATATCCAGCACTTTACTAACTTCTTAATTAGCATTACTCATGTGATGGATACATTTGTCTTGTAAACAGAGAAAATAGAACATTTTGTCACTTGGAATAGTATAACTTGTAAGCTATGCATTTTGATAGCAAATGTATAGAATCAGGTTTACTGCAAAGGGAATCTTGTAAGATACCAAGAATGTGACACCAATGCTTTACTTGGCATTGTGGGAGCAGGTCAACGTGCAAGGTGTAGAATAAATTGCAATGCCTACCTGTAATGGACTTGTCTATATCCTGAAGGATCACTGTTCCACTTGAAATTACTGACCTATTGTATCAGGTTGGCTGGTCAATCTGTGATACTGTAAATATTGGCAGCAATGACATGGGATAAGGTGATTAAATGCATGTTCCAAATGTATTCTACTAAAGCATTCAATTACAAGGAGTATACAATTTTTTTTTTAATTATTAAAACACGTAGACCTTCCACAGTTATCAAAAAGTTGGTTCTTCCTCAAAGAAGCTTATCGCCAAGATGTAGTATCAAACTGTGCTTTTGTAAATGGGTATAGGCAGTCTCTTATGGAATTATAACCATTAATATTTTATTTAGTGCCGAAATACCCTGCCTTACAGTATTAAAATGGGAGTTAGCTTACACTTGACTTTCTGATGGCTCTTTGCCAAATATGTTTTTTTTTTTTTTTATATTCTAAGAATTCCCAATAAACTTGGTCTATGCCAAGAGGAACAGGAGAAGGGCTGGTAGAAACCGTGTTCAAAACGCAAACAAAGTGAACGCTATGTTGTTAAATCATATGACTTGGCAAAACTGTCAATATTTCTAGCTATATAGCGGGTCTATAAATGTCAAACATCTCCTCCCTGTTCCAAAATATTAACAATGGCTGTATTGTACCCCAGGCTATGAAATTTAAAAGTTCCATTGTTTTAGCTAGCAAAAATTCAACATGTCACAAAAACATTACTTGTACATTCTTCCTTCTCAAGCTTTGTGTTCATGGTGCAGAAGTGCGATCAGGCATTTTGCGTTTCTCAAGTGTTCTAAATAGCCGGTTTCCTGCAGTTGTAAATTAACAAAACACCTGACCGAGCCTTTTTAATGCATGAACAATTATAAATTACATTGTACGTAGAATATAGTGTAGTGACTACCAATAGAAAATTTTGTAGGGCAGGCAAAGCCGGGTCACTGAACATCGAAACAAGTCTCCACTGTTTAGGTAATCAAGTGTGTTTTTAGAATGATACATTTTTAGTCTGTTAAAAAAATAAATTAAAAAAAAAAAATCTCTCTACCATCGTAACTCTGTGCATGTCATATCCATTTAAGAGATTCTTCTGATGATCTTAAATAATGCATTTTGCCATCATGTGGATAAATTATTTAAAGTATGAAATTGCTCACTGATCGCTATATATTATGAAAGCCTCCTGAACAGTGATCATTAAGGGGGGCTAGCTGTTTGTAATCTTGCAGAATCGAAAAGTTTAAATTCATTATTTATCATTGCTGATTGGGATGCCAGGTTTCAGCAGTTGCCAACTCAGCTGGAAGGAAAAATATAACCTTCCCCCCCCCCTTGCCTTTTAATATAATTTATTTGTTCAATTCCTTTGTTGCCATAGAGTATTTGTATATAACACTCTGGATAATGTATATTTTTTACTTTCCCATTTTCTTTTTGCATTCATTAAGAGTTGCATGCTTAAGAAATGGATAGATTTGTGCACTGTGGAAAAGTGTGTTTTTGTTTTTGTGCCAAACCACTTCACCAGAAAATAAAATATCCAGATTGGCCAAATTTTGTGCATGTTGTCATTCGCTCATTACAATATTGTCTGCCACAATAGATCTGGGAGAACGAATCAGACGAACCAAAAGGGTGTGAAAATGGGCCAGTGTAGTTTAGCGTTGTGCCTTTTTCTCACATACAAAAAATAAATCATCCACAGAAGATAAAAAAAAGTAGAAGTAATAAAAAAAAAAAAAAATATATATATATATATATATATAATTTTTAAAAAAAAATTTGCCGCCACAGGCAGAACTCCAAACCTGATATTCCATCATTTGATCAGTCTTTATGGTGTTTTTAGAAAAGAGTTGATAACCCGATTGTCCCAAATTTGGACAAATTGCAGATTTGTAACAAAGTCTCCAAGCATGCAAGTAGATCATATAAACTTTATGATGTGTAATAATCTGATCTGAATAGAACGGATATTATTAAAATCTGACAAAATAGCATTTTCTGTTGACAATTTATGGGTTATTACTATAATAAAATTAGAATTAAAAAGAGTTCAGAGAAGAGCTACTAAACTGGTTCATGGATTGCAGGATACAACTTACCAGGAAAGGTTAAAGGATCTTAACATGCATAGCTTGGAGGAAAGACGAGACAGGGGGGATATGATGGAAACATTTAAATACATAAAGGGAATCAACACCGTAAAGGAGGAGACTATATTTAAAATAAGAAAAACTACCACAACAAGAGGACATAGTCTTAAATTAGAGGGGCAAAGGTTTAAAAATAATGCCAGGAAGTATTACTTTACTGAGAGGGTAGTGGATGCATGGAATAGCCTTCCAGCTGAAGTGGTAGAGGTTAACACAGTGAAGGAGTTTAAGCATGCGTGGGATAGGCATAAGGCTATCCTAGCTATAAGATAAGGCCAGGGACTAATGAAAGTATTTAGAAAATTGGGCAGACTAGATGGGCTGAATGGTTCTTATCTGCTGTCATATTCTATGTTTTTAGAATTAGAAGTAATTTTTTATATTCTATGATAAATAGCTGAAAGCTTGCAATATTTGGTTACTCAAAATAAATAAAATGGCATTGTGTGGGTGTACACAGTATGTAATGTTTTTGGTTATTGATACCATAGAAGGTATGGCTAAAATGCTAAGTGATCACAGCAATAGTGACTTTTAAAAAAATATATATTAAATTTTTATTTTTTTTATCATTGCAGGATAAATTGACTCAAGAGTGTGTGTTCAGAGAGCAATTCGAAGAAAACTGGTACAACACGTATTCATCAAACCTCTATAAACACGCGGATACTGGACGTCGATACTATGTAGCATTGAATAAAGACGGAACGCCAAGAGAAGGGACTAGGACTAAACGCCATCAAAAATTTACACATTTTTTACCTAGACCTGTAGTCCCTGAAAAAGTACCTGAACTTTATAAAGATAGTCTAAGCCAAAGTTGACAAAGACTATCCCTTCACTCGAGCCCTTAAAGAAAACCGGAGGGAAGAAACAAACATGTAACCACTATAAAAGGTTTCACGCGGCGGGTTGTTATTGATTAGCTGTGTCATCACATCAGCTCCACTGTTGCCAAACTTTGTCGCATGCATAATGTATGATGGAGGCTTGGATGAGGACATGTTGGTTCTGTTCTGCACTTAGAGGTTTACCCTCCTAGAGAAAAGGCTGTGCCCACTCGCTTGGTTTATTAACACTCCAATAATATAAATAAATTCTTAATCCCCCCCCACCCCCACAAATAAGCAAGCGAGAAAACAAAGTAAAAAGGAATGAGGCCTGATGCATGCTGGGAAATAGACATGCTTTTTAAATTTTTGATCAATTTTACTTCATCTTATATCAGCCTAGCTCCCCATTCTTTGACTCATCAGAATCTTTTGGCTGGAGGCCTGCTCAGATTTAAGCGCATTTTACAATGGCATGGATGGGGGCAGTCTTACTTAAACAAGAAAAATAATAATAAAGCCTTCAGTTACTTGCTCATTGGGTTGCCATCCTGTTGAGCATAAATTAAAGACCTCTTAGTACAGAAAAAAAAAAGTGTAAAAAAAAAAACAAAAAAAATCAAAATAACAAAAAAAAAAAAAAACTTTAAATTTATTTATAGAAATTCCAAAGGCAACATTATATTTATTTTATATATTTATTTATTATATAGAGTTTATTTTTAATGAAATATGTACAGGCCAGATAGGCATTTTCAAAGCTTTAGGCTCTGTAAGCATTACCTGTTAAAGGCCATCATGAACCTGTGGTGAATTCATGCCCATTTAAAACAATGGTGCCTGGGTTCAAATAAGACCCCTTTGTTTTTATTTCATAGAATTTTTTTTTTTTTAATTTTTTTCTTTTCTTTTGGGATCCTAAAGTGGCAGTCTATATTGTGCCCATTCCTTTGTAAAGGTATTAATGCCATTCATGATATTTAAGGGTGTTTTTTTTTTTTGAGGTGACCAGTGGTTTTCAAACTAGAACTCAATGGTTCACGATCCGATGGCTTACTATTATTCATTTAAGAATCTTCGAAAAACATGGTTGCCCAATAGTCCTTGAGAGCTAGTTTTTGATCCATGGTCTGAAATTAACAAAATCCTTCCAAATTTAGGTCCGTGAGAGTTTTAAACATCGGGAATTTCAGAACTTTATGAATTGTCACACAAAACGTCTTATTGTGGCTTTTCAGAATGGCCTTGGATTGTTAAAGTAGTCAGTGAGCACCTGTACAATATAGGCGTCCCTTGCTTACTCGTTCTGATCTGTGGGTCTCCATTTGCATTTTATATCTGTCTTGTAAGAGAGCTGAGCTCTTCCACAGCCTCCACCATAGAGGAACCATCAGTGGTGGAATTTTCCTCCATGTTGGAAGATGTGGGAATTCATCTGGGCTGGGTCAACTTGTGCTAACTAGCTCTTGCTGGACTGTAAATTCCACTGACAACCCTTAAGTAAGCCGTTGATAATGGCAGTAACAATTAAGCAGCAAGTGATATGCCACTGATTTAAATAATTATGTAGTCACGTTTGCAATTGCTTAACATGCAAAAACAATCAGGACATCTTTCATCTACTGTGCTATGGCCTCTGGCTTCCTATAGTACCGCGGCCATCCTGAACTTCTCAGCTGTTCAAAGGCACCTACAGTTTACTATACACACATGTATTATACCCATGTAAAATATTTCAGATCAGATGGGACTATAGTTTTTTTTTTTTTCCTAGCAAAACTTAAAGGAGCACTATATAACCTAACATATTTTCATAGTTAGTCTCTGCACAGTAAAATAGGTGCCTTTTTAACATGATATAGTAAGTGTTAGCAGACTGGTTGGTGTCCTAAAGCAGCAAGTGGCTTCAGTAATTGTGTGTTTTTTTTTTTTTTTGTTTTTTTTTTTTCTATAACCTCATCATATTGTGGGTGCTAAAAAGCAAGACCCAGGTTGGCAGAATTATTCTCGGCTGTAACCATATTTCTTTGTGCACTGACTTATAGAAGAAAGTAGATTTCATAGGGGTCATTGTAACATCTATGGAAACTGCTTTTTGGTGTGAACTGTCATTAATACAATAGCATTTTTTCTTTTCTTTTTTTTTTTAAACTTTTTTTTTTTTTTTATATATATTGCAAAATGAACCTAATAAATCTTTGCAAATAACAAGGGGAAAAGTATTACATATTTAATGTGTTTTTTTTTTTTTTTTGGATAATTTTTGGTTTTCATTTATTTTTCTTGGTATTTTCAAGCATTTTTTTTTTAATCACATATTTTAAAGCCATCAAGGGTCAAGGGTGAAATGTGTGGTACATCTTGAAAAGAAGAAAAAAGAAATTGTAATATTTTTAAGCAATAAGCATAGAAATAAATATTTATTTAAAAGTATTCTGAAATGTGTAATTAGGGGAAAGAGTCTGGACGGAGGCAACACATAACTGGTCGTAGTTATTAAATAAAGAATGGTGCTACCAATTTATATGGTTAATTTGAAGTGTGCTTGCATTTAAAAAAATATATTTATTGGTTATAATAATGGTCGGCAGTTGTGACGTTGGAGTGTTTTTTTTTTTTTTTTGTTTTTTTTTTTAAATCTGGGGACCAGAAGCTCTGACATAAAAGGGATTCTACTTTCAGCATTAGTTTTACAAGTTGGAATTGTTGAAGATATAACATGTTATTGGTGTATATCGCCAGTGTACTTCAAGTGAAGGAACAAAAGTTATCCATATAGGGATACGAAATAAAAAAACATCTAATCTTACAACTCTGATATGCTAGGTAACCTGGTTAATGTCTCACATTATCATGCATCATATTAAGTTTAGTTAGTGAAGTGAGGGGTGCACTTTTTAACTCCTTTTTCTAGGCAGGTACCAGCACTGACTTGAGTGTTGGTGCCAGTGTACAAGGGTATGCAGACTACAATACGGAAAGCATTGCTGGGCATGCTTATCTAGGAAGGTGCTGATGTATAACAAGAATGGCAACTATATAATTCAAAGGTCAACAATCCCACAAGGCCTGCCAGAAGCATCCTTTTTTTTTTTTTCTAAGCCCTTCTCAGAGCAAAGTACATTGTATACCAAGTGAATTAATGCTAGGAGCTGCATTTATTATAGATCTATTACATATGGTGGAGATAACTAAAGATAGTGCGGTACCCTCACTTTATACAAGATCACACTTTGTTTAATGGGGGCTTTTTAAAATTTTTTTTTTTTTAATGTTTAACCCCTTTAAGGACGCATGACTGATATATTCCGTCATTCTATTTTATTTCTGAAGTTGTCCTTAAGGGGTTAAGGACACATGACATGTGACATGTCATGATTCCCTTTTATTCCAGAAGTTTGGTCCTTAAGGGGTTAAACATTATTTAGAGGTTTTTACATAGGTAAATAATATATATATATTAACAGCATGTAGATACCTGTAGAGGGGGGAAATACAATTTGCCAATAATCTGAGTCTTTGTGGACAAACATTAAAAGTTAATACAGAGGTTTTATAAAGACCCTAATCCACGTCAGAGTACTAGTTCAAGCTTTTCTTATGCATATTGTGATGCCTGCTCCTCTGAGCAGCTTTGGCTGTAGACAAATTGTAGGCATGTCAGGGAAATAGTCAGTTCAAACAGTGGCAAGAAGTGGTATATAACGGAGACTACTAAGCTGTGTGTAGTAGCCAAGTCTACGTCATCCACCACCGGACAGGTCCCGCCACCACCCGCTAAAAAAAAAAAAAGAGTGGGTTAAATATCTCGTATAGGAAGAGGATAAGAGAGGGAACAGTGAAAGGGATGGAGAAGAGAGGGAAAAAAGAAAAGGAGTGTGGGGGGGGGGATATAGAAGTCAAGAGACCTATATCAGTAGCCTCCAACCTCCCTTTCCTGAGGCCACTGCATCACGCCTTTGTCCTCTACCCTCGGGGCATCATCCTCTCGAATATCCTTTCACACACAGTTCTAAGATAAGGCAGTTGTCCTCGTTGGAGGTTGTCTGGTTTGGGTCTGATCACATTCCAACTTATGCTTTACATTTGCATAAAACGTGGCCTTTTAGGCACAGAATTCTCAGGTATAACTACCCATTCTCCCCCATGGCTTGGAGGAAAGGATGTATTTCACTCTTTACCTTCACAGATTTAAAAAATTATAAAAAAATTTAAATTTTTTACCCATATTTATTACTTTTAACTAGGTAGCAGAAATAAAATGTATTTAAAAATATATGTAAACCGTAAATTCGGTGCTATTCTTGCATGTATGTACCAATATCACATCCATTTACCTACATCAATTCAATACAGTATATTGGTAAGGCCAAAACGTATCAAATGCATTAAGGTTGTATTGGTGCTCGGAGTGTCCCTTCAAAATCTTCCAATGGCTACCAGCAACTTCAATTCGCACACCAACAGTCCATGACTTTGACTTTTTCCAATTGGTATGCTGTCCAGGTAAAACAATGGATTGACTTTGGAACCACTGCTCTATTTTTAATTTTATTTAATGTTTTTATTTTTTTGGGGTGTGTACGAACAACCCAAATCATCCTATTCCACAGAGCCCATAATGTATAATGTCTGACACTATCATTAAATAATTGGCCACATCTCTCTGCTACCTTTTGGGCAGTTGTAGAACCATTCCAAATATTGCGGCGTTTCAAATGAACTGTGCTTATCAACATTTTTTTTGGTTTGTTTTGTTAGACCAAAAACATATGTCATAAGTTCTGTAGTCTTGTCTTTGTTTAAAGAGCTGATAAGAAACTGTGAGGCAGAGAAAATATTAGTTGACACTATAAACGTAACGCGCTTGCTACATTTTTGAAACCCAAAGGTAATACCCACTAATCTCAGATGCCTCTTCAATAAAGGAAAAAAATTTAAATATATATCCAAACTAAGGAATACGCATTTCTGGACAAAACTGCAAGAAATTATAAAAGGTAGTGATGCTGATTTGACCAAATCTTTCATCCCCCAATTCCCAGCCACCCCCCATACAGCAATATCGAATGTCATCGCATCGCAGAAAAGTGACCTGTCACTCTTAAACATCCCAGTGCTGCTAAATAAAGTTAAGTATATTTATTTTGACTTAGATAATTCTGAGTTATCCTTTACAAATGTGTTATTTTACATCCAATCCATTTGTAAACATAATGTTTTTAAGCTATGCACATTGGCCATGTCAATGCACGTCCCAGCATAAAAACATGGTCTTTCAGTCCACAAATAAAAATACAGTACATACATGCATATATAATTCCAATCTGGTTACAAGATATCTCTACGGTATTTATGGTGTATACTCTTGCAACCTTCCTGATGTAGTAATATGGATTTTGGCAGGACTAAGGCAAGCTCCACGAATGAGCATATAAGCATTGATTTTGGAGAAATAAAAGGAAGGAAGCCAGGTCTCATCTATTGGTAGGTTAGATTTTCGTATCAATAAATATTGACTGCTAACTCCATTAAGAAAATAAAATCTATGTTTGTTTTAAATGGATTACAATTTTTTACACGAGCACAGCACGCAAAAAAAAAGAATCTATTAAGAGTTGCTGTAATGTGTTATAATGGCAATTAAATAAAAGTTCAAGGGGAACGGTCTCTTCTCTGGAATTTATACCTCTGAGCAAACACCTATAACTTGTGTTATGTAACTGTGTTTCAGATACAGTGTTAAAACCACATGGGCACCCAGACACCTTAATTCCGATGAAGTGGACTGGGTGCCCATAGTGCCACTTTACGTGCCAACTTCAATACTATAAATTAACTCTTAGTCAAGCATGCTGATGTTATAGACTGCAGAATATTCTCCTCAATATGTGACTGCACTAGCTCAGCTGAAGATCAAGGTCCAAGAGAGATTCCAAGATTTCCACACTCAAGGAAGAACCCTAAAGAAGTAACTAACAGTTTCTCTGTAATGGAGACTCCAGAGGCCCTCCAAATGGAAATCATTATTCTGAAAATCAAATTTAACTGTCCCAATAGAATGTTAAGAAAAGTATGTAGAAAAGGAAAAACCTGTCCGTTTAAGAATGCACGAAGCAAGAATCTTTTCCTCTTCAGAAGCATATACTTATGTGAACAGATATTCTCCAGAATTAAGCCCTCCAGGTCAAAATTGAGGACAAAAACGACAAATTGTCCTCTGGAGCACTGACTGATTAGTTAACAGGGAAATAGTTCCTAACATTGAACTATTAGTAAAGAAGAAAAGAAATTTAGTCTTTCATTATTTCCATTGCTATTATATATAGGTATTGTATTAGGTGGCGTGTGACGTACCAAATTTTCAAACCAACCTTCGACTTCAGAAAGGTTGAGCACTAGACTTGTGCATTCAGTGTCAGACGAATTGCAATTAGTCCAAACTTAGGCCGATTAGCTATAAGCTGGTTGCCTGAATTCTCTATCTCTAAAGTAGTTTAGTTCAATACATGAAGATGGACTAAATGAATTTTCTACGGCATGGAGTTTGGATTGAATACTTGTTTTAGATTTATTTATTTTTATCAATTCACAGACAAAGACAAAAACACATCAGGAAAAAAATATGCAGGGGAGCAAAGAAAACAGAAATATGGTAACCAAGTGGTAGAAATCCCAGAAATGTAATAGAGACCTCTCTTAAAGAGCTCATGTGAATTACAAACAAGTGTTGCACATCATTCTGTAGTCTCAAAATGAAGAAAATAATAACTTGGGTATAGCAGAGGAAGCCTTGGACTAAATCCAAAGGCTAATATGTTTTAGTAGGGAACTCTGAATAATGAACAAACGAGAAAGAGGTAGGGAAAAGAGCAAAGAATGAAAGGAATCAAGAGACAGTAAAGTGGGCTACTGATCCTCTCCGGCAGCACTAGGTAGAGTAAATGATCCTCTAGTACGGCACTTTCTCCAAACACTCTCAGCAGATATGCACCAGAGTACCATCCTCTATCCCACAGCCTCAACAAGAACTAAGCTGATATCTAACAATGGAGTGTAAAAGCTTTGGGGTCCTATACCACCCAGAGAGGAGCTTGTAGTTTGTCTCCTGTATTATTGTGGAGATGGTGGTCTGAAGGTTCAGAATAAAAACTTTGTTCACTTTTCCCTGCTGAAAAGTCATCCCATCGTGTCCTCTCATTGTCCCTGGTT